GACTGCCTCACACAATTTAGCTCTTAGGTCCGGAAAGGTAGAACATGTTTTAGCAATAAGTTATTGAGTTAGTTGTCGTCTACCAGTGCAGTAGCGTGGCTTGTGTTAAGATTGAATGAAGTAAAGCGTGAAGTGCCGTTTATTCGTCGTTTCTTGGTTCTTAATTTGGTTTCCAAATTTCCAGCACGGGTTACGGCAGTCCTCCATTACCATTGCGTACTACAGTGTTGTTTTTTTGTGTTTTTTTTATATAACTTATTTTAACTTTCAACTTTATTATTTTTCTTTTCTATTTACTTTTGGCTTATTATTTTTCATTATTTATATCTTTTAATTATTTTTTGGTTATTAAATATTTATTTTTTGTCTTTAAAAATATTTATTATATATATTGTTGTTTTAAATTAAAATATATTAATGATATATAAATATTAATATACCAAAGCCCGGCAAAGGGCCGCTCATGCAGATCTATTTAGGTATAGTCATGCAGTTTAACTCCCCTCCGTCAGTTCGATAGAACGCCGACCAGTAGACTTATCTGTATTTATGTATAGTTAGGTCGTTACATTCCCTCAGTCCCGAGAAGACGGACAAAAAGCATAAAAAGGAGTGGAAAATTTTGACTTTCAAGTTCCGAAAACGTTTGTGGTAAATTATTTTTTATATAAATGTGTTATTTTCTAATTCTTATGATAATAAGAAGATGGGGTATGATTACCAATGAGACAACTCTCCACAAGAGACCAAATGACACAGAAATTAACAACTATAGGTCACCGTACAGCCTTCAACACATTTTACTATCGTTCAGATGAAAGAATGTCCATGTTTTTGATAAGGGAGTAATCCTTTGAATTTTAGGGGGGGGCTTGGATAAATTTGTTTTATTTCTAACTTTTTTTCGGCGTAATTTCGATTAAGCCGATTTATTTCCTCGCTTGCCCACACATTTTTTTTTGTATCCTTATTTTGCGGCCATTTTTTTTATTCTGTCTTTTGATTTTGAAAATTTTCATCAAAAATTTGTTTCACCATAAATTCGGGTCCTGTCTGATTACTTCAAATTTGATCTAAGCCCCTTTTGATGCGGAACGAACAAAATTTGGCAAGCTTCGCTGGCCAGATTATGATAATATAAGAAAATTTGTTTTGAAAATTATCTAATGGGCAAAATGTGGGCCATTTTTTTTTACTCGAGGTGCTGGCCAACTGTGAAATTAATTTTATTTCAGTCAAAATCAAGGCCAGAAATATTTTCATCTTAACACCACCACCATTTGTACTATACGATTTTCGTGTTATATTTGAAAAATTATTTCACGTCGCCGAACATTATTACTTCTGAAAAATGTTTCTTTAAAGATTCTGTCGATTCATCCCAAAGCTGGTACAAGTTCTTTTCAGATCCTTTAGGGTTCCTATATATAGCGAATCAACAAAACATTTTTCATTACTACCAATTTGTATTTCGCATAGCATATTCTGTTCAAAAGCAAAATGACTTATATTATAAAGAGAATATTTAAGGACTTGGTGGTGTCAAATCTTTTGTAATTCTGTCAATAAATAAATCAGATTTATAGTCAATCTGCTCAGTTTCATTTGGTAAATGTCTACACAAATGGTCATCGACAATTTTATTTATTTGTTTTCCGACACGCCCGTTAAGATCTCCATCTAACAGCTGTTAATTTTAGGAATGAAAATTGTTCGATTTTGTCATGAGTGATATTTGCGATGATATACGTTTTTATCTGCCGAGACGTAAATCGCACAAACATGTAAATGCTTATAATTTAACATAATACATTTTTCAATGTTTATTATTTACAAATCATATATATATACTATCAGCACAATATTTCACAATATCATTACTTAATTTGCACATATTTCTATAAATTAATACAACACTTGCTCCATTGCACTTTGCTCTATATAAATACTTTTTCTCATAACCAGTCAAATTGAAATCATCAGGGTGTTTAACCCAAAACTCATTTAAACTTAGATCATCGTAAACAAGAACATGTTTGAAGATATCTGAATCTGATAATTTTCGAAGTAGATACTTCAAAATATTCCAAGAGCACATTTTCAAATCACTTTTATCATCAATTAAATTTTCACCACTATATAGGTCTTGAATTGTATAATTGTCCGCTTTTTCCTAATCTTTCTTCAACTCACCATTCACAAACAATTCATCACCAACAAGATAAACAGAATTGGTAGCAATTTTTCTCTGCGTTCTATGACTTCTTTTGATTGCGGGATAATTCCAAATTCATTATTTTTACGACGTTTCGAACGCTTCGCACCATCTTGCGATCAGTTTTTGTGAATTTCAGTACAATTGGCCTTGTATGTTTTGATCCGTTGTTGCGATGCCCTGGCGGTATGATCCATCAATATGAAAAAGTTTTTTGCCGTTTACAATCTTGAGGTTATATCCACAAAATTCCGAAATAATGTTATGCAATTTTCATATTCTCTCGTTACAACCCCGCACTATTCCATCTCTTTACTACTTTTAATTTGATCGAGTTAGACTATCTTGGATTCAACATTAACTTCTTTAAAAATGTTTCTATGCATATAATTCGGCAGTAAAAACTGCACATGAAGTAGATGATATTTTTACAAATTATGAAAAGAATGTCATAAACATACTTGATTAACAAGATACCCTAGAAAAAAATCCACTCCCATACATGAATAGTGATTTGAGAAAAGCATTCACCGTAATCATATGTTATATTCTAACTTTACAAAACAAACAAATGTAATAACTTTGAAAATTAATCTGGTCAGTAATTTAAAACGGAGATCACTTAGAAAGGTGCTCTGGTGGTGCAAAAACTTGTGATTTATTTAAAACTATTAAACTTTTCTTCTCTGAAATGTGTAACTCAGGCCAACAAAAAATAGTCTTGAATGAAAACAACAAAATTGTGACCGATACAAAACAAGTAACAGAACATTTTTTTTAAATACCTTTTTTAAACTTTAGTTGCGGAAATTGGAAAAGATGTCAAATATGATCAATCTTCCCATCCCAGCATCCTAGAGGGTTGGAGAAATGCCCTTGATAAAAAAATCATTACATAGGTGCAGTTTTAATTGACCTCACTAAAGTTTTTGATTGCTTACCTCATGAAATTTTACTTGACAAACTATCCTTTTATGATGTTTCTTCTCATTCAGTGTCCCTTTTAAATTCATATCTATCAAATAAAAAACAACAAATAAAAGTTTGAAACTTACTAAGTGGTTGGGAAATATTCTCATATTTGTTTTTTCGTTTAAAGTTTTGCATAGTCTGTTGTGTTGTGCCGTTACACCATGCACTGTTTCAGGTTAGGGGAAGGATTGGCGTCTTCAAACATGTTTAATCTCGCCAAATTCTTTATGTGCCTGTCCCAAGTCAGGAGCCCGTAGTTCAGTGGTTCATGTCTGTCATATTTGTTTTTCGTAAATTTTGTTATAGATTAGGCCGTTAGTTTTCTCAATTGGATCGTTTCATATTTTACATGTCGGGGCCTTTTATAACCGACTGTACAGTATGGATTTTTCTCACTGTTGAATGTCGTAAGGTTGCCTATAATTGCATGCATTTGATTCCCAAGTCTTTGCTATTATACTAAATGTCATCTGTTCCGCATGCAATTGATTTCCAAGTCTTTGCTATTATATCACTACATGTTGCTGTTCCGCATGCATTTGATTTCCAAGTCTTTGCTATTATAATACTAAACGTTGCTGTTCCGCATGCATTTTATTTTCAAGTCTTTGCTATTATACTAAATGTCTCTGTTCCGCATGCATTTGATTTCCAAGTCTTTGCTATTATAATACTAAACGTTGCTGTTCCGCATGCATTTGATTTCCAAGTCTTTGCCACTATACTGTCAGCTCTGCGTATTTTTTTTATCTGTTTATTAATATATTTAAGTTAATTCAAATCATAAATAACACTTGATAGACTAAGGTAGATCCGGTGTATTTTTCTCAGCATCTCTTCTGGGCATGTTGCAAAAATACTTTTTTGGTTTGAAAATGTTAAACCAAGTATCCTTCAATATACACCTAAAGCATCTTAAACTTGATAATTAAAGCGTCGTTAAGTGTCTTTAAGATTTTCAGAATAATCCTTTATAACCAAGGGGAGATAATTATACTGATTTTGATAGGACAATTTGTGTTTTTTTTTCTCAGTGACCCCCCCCCCCCCCCCTTATTTTTATTTGATATTTCGGACGTATTTATGAAAGCAATTCTCACATTGAATTTAACCTATTCTATCGTTTAATGTTTCTTCAAACGGAAAAAAGTCAGTTTCCCATATATAACCCATATAAGATAACTGTGATTTTCGTTAATTTCAATGTATTTTATCAAAAAAATAAGGTCCGTGACCTCCAATTTATATATTCAAATTTGAAAGTATATTGACCCAGAAATCTTTAATATAAGTTTAAGAAAAATCTATCGTCGAACATTAAGACACCCCAGCTACCATTTTTGTCCGAAGGAGTAAGAACCTTAGTTTCTTCGTTATATTTTAATCATCAAATGTGAATTTTAGAAAAATATGTTATAAATCATGTCAATACCGAAGCTGAACCTTTGTTTTTGTTGAAAATTGCAAAAGTTTAAAGACAACTGTCAGGTGATTATCGGCCTTCATACATTTTTCTTTCCCAGCAGTCAACCTATATGAGGTCATCACGAAAAGTTGTCACAGGGATTCTTTGACGTGTTGAGTATGGTACCTTACCATCTTACCTTATCTTTGGATACAAACATTGTAAAACTATTTTGTGTTTTTGGTGAATACATTTATCACTTATACTCGAATCGAAATACATCCGCTACTTCTGCTAAGTGATAATCTTTGTATCCGCATTGTCCTCTAAATAACATCTAATTTCCGAATCAGAAATTATACGTGGCCACTGGTATTTTTTTTCCTTTACACTAAAAGTGCGGATTAAGTAACACTCAATACAATATTTATGTATAGCAACCTGTTACATGTATATACAACATGCATTTAATGTGAATTCCTTATTAATAAGACATAAATGGAAAATTTGATTTCTTCGTTTCAACGGCTCTTCATCTTATTACACATTTTAAAGGGTAAGTTTAACCATGTTTTTACCTTATTTATAAGAAGAGTTTTTTTTTTTTTTTTTCGCAAACAAATTAAAATGCAATTTGGAACAAATTCAGAGTTTTCGATTTGAAAGTAGATTTTTCTTTAACTTTTTATTAAACAAATTGTGTCTTGATTTCAATGTAACCATAAATGAATTTTTACATGTATAAGAAAGTCCTTCATCGGAATTTTGATAATTTAGCACGGGAAAAAATTATTTATTGTGATAATAAATAATGTAAACTGTTCCATCCAAGGTATCATCACAAAGATATTGAAGCAATGAAAATGTAATCGATGATGATATCCACATATAGTCCTGTAGATAATGTTGTATGGATAGAAAACGACCAGATGGTTTCTGGGCGACTAAATCATACAACTGACTTTCGTAGTTACTTTAAATATTGTCTTACATGTATGTAACCCGAATAGTTCAGTCGTTATATTCAGGCGGCTGCATTAGGAGAAATCGATTACGGGGAGGGACTGAACTATTCGGGTAGGCGTGTATGCTGTTCCTTTGCTGAAAACAGCATATCGTAGTAGTTTTGTCTTTATTTTGATACAAGGAACTGAACCAAATAATTATTTTCTGGTAGAATATTTAAAATATATAAAGTGTGCATCGCAAAACGTGTTTCCCCTTACTAACTGCCGAATTTAATGCACTAAAATCAAGTTATATCAATCAACATTTAATGTTCATGACACGACCACCCGTCATGTCAAATAGAACTCGTCCAACCGTCAAATCTATGAGTCGATTTTAATGCAATCTTAGCCCATAGTTGCCATTTGAGCTTCAATTTAATTAAAATATAGACCTCTGATTTCGTTATCTTCTATATATACGAGCATGCGAATTAATATGGATCAGAATTTTAATCAGATTGTTTGAGCTTGTGTCATCCTATGGCGTCTGTCGTGTAATTGTTTTCAAAAATCTTCTCTGAAACCTTAAGGCAAATGTTTTGATGGCAGTAACGCGCTACAAAAGATCCTCATTCAAGCAGTTTAAGCAAACCACAGCTTAAAAGTGATCAGTAGGTCAGGATCTATCTTACCTGAGTTTCAAAAAATTGAACTAACCTTTTTAAAGTAAAAAGTAAAATAACAAAAATACTGAACTCCGCGGAAAATTCAAAAAGGAAAGTCCCCAATCAAATGGCAAAATCAAAAAAACAAACATCAAACGAATGGATAACAACTGTCATATTCCTGACAAATTAGAGTTGTTGCCTATGGAATGTCTTCTTTGATTGTATGCAAATTTCGAATTGTTATATAATCATGGCTATAATCATGAAAAAATAGCAAAAATGACAAGCAAGACTAGATCTTCAAATAAATCATCATGGTCGAAATAGTCAATCTTAATCGGTTCGGTTTTATCCGTATTGGCCATAATCTTGAAAACTACAATAGATAGAAAAAAATATATACAGCCAAAAATAATCAACTCCACAATATCTAAAACTATTTTACATGGCAGAAATTGTCTGTCCACTCCTTAAAGGAGTTATTGTTCTTAAATGACGTTTTTTTTTCACCAATTGTTTGGCTACTGACTTGACTACTGTAACTGAGAGAGTTTTTACACAACAAAAATTATCAGCTAGACAAGAACTACAAAAATAAGTCTAGCTGACTGAAATTATAAGATGTGGTATGATTGCCAATGAGACAACTGTCCATCAAAGACCAAATGACGATGATTGACACTACTATAGGGCACTGTATATCCTTCAACAATGAGCAAAACTCATTCCGTATAGTAAGTTATAAAAGGCCTAGGCATGACATACAATGAAACAGTTAAAAAAGAAAACGAACGGCCTGTTTATTCTAGAAACATTACACGGAAACAAATATGGTAGACAGCAAAGCGACAACAACTGAATTACAAGCTCCTGACTTTCGGCAGGCACATACTGAATGTTGCGGGGTTAAAAGTCTTTTAACTCCGATAAACATAGTCAAATCAAAATGACGGTATAATCTGGTCAACAAAACATGATGGCAAACAATTTTACCAAATATGAGACCTTTTGTCAAATGGTATCAGAAGAGTAGCTTTCACAAGGTGACACTTTTACAACACTCTAAAAAAAATCAACGTCAAACGACTCCTGTATAAATGATCGGGTCAAAATGACGGTGTCATATGGCCAACTGCACATGATGGCAAACAATACTACCAAGTATGAGAGCTTACTGTAAAACGGTCTCAGAGGAGTTGTGTTCACAAAGTGTTGTTTCGATACTCCAACAAATGTTTAAAGTCCCATAGCTCCCGTAAAAATTATCAAATCAAAATGATGGTAAACTACACATAATGACAAACAATATTACCAAGTATAAGAGCTTTCTGCCCAATGGTCTCAGAGGAGTTGCATTCACAATGTGTTATTTTCACAATACTACAAAAATAGTTAAAGTCCCATAACTCTCGTCAAAATGATCGAATCGATATGACGGTATAGTATGGTCAACCAAACATGATGGAAACGTATCTTACCAATATGAAGTTTTCTGTAAAACGATCTGTAATGAGTTGTGTTCACAAGGTGTTATTGTTATACTCCAACAAATGATCAAAGTCACATTACTCCGTAAAATCGTCAAATCAATCTGACGATATAGCATGGTCAAGAGTATATGACCATTGTCTCTGAGTATTGATGTGTTTCGGACGGACGAAGAGCGACCATAACCATATTCCCCGCAGCACAACGCGTGGACCACCAACAATCAAACACGTCATAAACAGTCTGAGGAAAGCAGGGCCTTGTGCAAAATATAAGTCTCGACTGGATGCAGGAACTTTTTAGCTATACATATGTTGAACGTTTTAATTTATTTGAAACAAAATTAATGTTAGTACCGATGAAGACAATATCAAAAGGTCTCATTAGTGTTAAATTGAAGAAAAAATCAGAATAAGTTTATTCAAAGGATCCATAAGTTTACATAAATATCCAAATCTAGACAAGAACAATCATTGCTGTTCATATTCAATCATTTCCTTTGGGTAAATTTCTGAAGTACAATAAGAATATTCTTGATTATATAAAGCAAAAATAAAATGGTACGCTATAAGAGTGTCTGTTAAATGGAATTCAGACATATTTTTACTGAGTTTGGCAATAGCTGAAATTCATAACAATACAGGAAAAAAAACTCTGCTATGTGCCCATAGGAATACCTACCTGTCGAAGTTCAGTGAAAAGAGACGAAAAGTGACAGTCATAACTGTCAACTGATTTGAAGGGATCAACAAAAGCATATTATTAACCTATAACATCCAAAGAGTTTTTTTTCTTTCCATGAATGATTAATTCACTTAGTTTTAACAGGTGTGTATGTACCCGTTTGGGTGTTGAAAACTATAGAGTTTATGGAAAACAACTTTATGAAGTATCAGAAAAATAATGAAGAAATGAGAAAACATGACCGAAATAATCAAACCGACTTATTGCCATTTGTTCTCGCCCACTTTTTGTGTGCAAAAAAAATCATTTTTGGATAGCTGAAGATTAATATAGCCTTCATAGTGGGTTTATAGGAACATCAAGATTGTGTAATGTATGTATTATGGGCTGTTTTCTGTATGACAGTCCGTATTTTCATATCCATACCATTTTTGTCGCACGAACTTTGTGATTAAATTTTACGAAAAAATGAGGCGAAAGACACCCAATTTTTAATTGATCATTTGGTAGATTAATGTCAACATTTTCAGAAATGGTATCACTCATAGGCATTGAAACTCTAGTTTAAACCAAATTTTGGAGCAATATGTAACATTTTCATGCCCCTTTTTGCAATATTTCATGAAAAATAAATGCAGAATGTTGCCATGGATACCCAAAAAAAGAATTATTTTTCACCATTTAAACTTTTGAAAATTAAATTTATGGAAGATATTGATTACATACATATGCAAATGTATGACACAAACAGTTGGCTAAATGTGTTAGAAAGCCAGGAATAGAAGATGATTAAGCATTTTTTGGTTCAATTTTAATTTTATTTTCTAACTGTGGAATGCTACATGATTGCCCTCAAAAATGAAAATATTTACCTATATTGGGGAGTATTGGTTATGTCTTGAAAACTATAACATCTAAAGAGAAACTGTAAACAGCTAAAGTGATCGGTAAAATAAAAAAATGTTTATCCATAGCCCGGGCCCCCCTTTCGTGGGAAAAAAATGGTTGATTATATAGGGAATCTCTGAAGCATGACTGGAGCGGCCCCCCCCCCCCCCCCCCTTAGGTCAGTCAGCGGGCCCCCCCTTATGAAAAGTTCTGGATCCGCCACTGTTATCTACTTCTTTAGGAGTTATTGTCCTGAATTAATGATTTTTACACCTTTTCCGTTAGTTATCTTAGTATAATCAGGAGTTTCCAGAATTTCACACAGGTGTATAATTCCGTACACCCCTGACTGCACCAAGATAACGAATTTATTTCTTATGAAGCATTCCTTTTCATATTTTTTTAGCGGGGAATGAAACTGCAAAATTCTTATGAAGAACTTCCACTTCACATTTTTCAATACCAAGTTTGCTGTGCATTGTTAAATGTTACTTTTTTTTCATTTTGGGGAATTTTGGAGAAGAAAATATGTTTTTTCTTTTTTTGAATTGGCTATTATCTTAAAAGCTATAACAGATAGAAACTATTCTGCAAAAACAACCAAGATAAAATCTACAAATAAGACAGATAACTGATTGACAATCCACTCCTTATAACATTTGTTTGGGTTTGGTTTTTGTTGTTGTTGCTATATATATATGATAGTAGATGGAGATTAACGCGGTGAACGTGAACAGTTCAAATGACCAAGAAGATAAGATTTTATCATTATTGGTGAACATAACTGAATTTGTGGATCGGCTCCTTGTAGCTTCTTATTCTAGACCAAATTTAACGTTTTTTTTTTCTCAATTATCTTAATAATAACAGATAAAGAGAATTTGTAAACAGGAAGAAATTTTTCATCGCCTCCTAATTTGGATGAGTGTCATTTAATTACCTTACCATTTTAAATATACTCCGATTAGCTCTAGATCACAATTGATCATAGTCCTAGTGTATGAAAGAAGGCTTCAATTGTATATGATTTTAACGTTGCATAGTTTTACCAGGTGAGCAATTCAGACTTCAGGGAGCGTCTTGTTCTTAATAACCTGACTATTCGTTGAACAGCACATGACTGATGAAAGACAGTTCGATTTTTTAATAGGTTAACAATGCAACAGCTTATTCAGTCAGGTAAGCTTGTCAATTAAATAAGTTCAGTAGACAACACAAATGAATTGATAATTTATAAGACATAAATGAACAGTTTAATTTCTTCGTTTCTCTTCGCCGTATTACAGTTATCAAACGGTAAGATTCAACTATTGAAAACAAATATCTATAATACTTTTTTTTTTTAAATTGCTAGTGTCTTATAGACTTAAGACAAATAGAATTATATTGTTAAATACCATCTGTGACTCAAGCATATGATTTGTTCTATAAAAATGATTCAGACGTATGCAGTTTTTCAATCAGGGGGTAGCTCTTGAGAGTAATGAGTTAGAGGACCATATTTTGACAAAAGAAATGGCTTAAATTTTATCTATAAATTACATTTTTTTCTTTTTTAAGGGAGGGAGGGCGCAGGTTGTGCCCCCGTTTGAATCCGCGCACTTTTTGCTAATGGGGTAATCATAAGAATTGATTAAGTACAATTTGGGTTTCGTCACGTTTACCGTTCTTGAGTTATGTCCCTTTATAACGTTATATGCAGGCGGGTGTATCATCTGTGTCCCTTGGACACATTCTCCATTTATTTTTTTTAAAGTTGTCGCTGACCTGCCTTTCGTTTGAATTTTCCTTTTTCTAGCAGACTAGAATATATTTCATTTCAAAGAACACTTTTTTGTTGATCTTGTTGGCTAATTATAGGTTCTATAACGAGTAAGAATTGGATATCGCTTGATATCAACTCGAGTTATTTCGCGGTTGGTATAGTGTCCGGCGGAGATCGTGTTTTTTTTTCGAGTGAATCGGTCCACTTTTTTCGAGTGTAGATCAGGTTCTTTCCGAGTGGTATTACATGCGATCAGATCAATTTACTGCTATTTCGCGTATATAATAGTTATATTCATGACTGTTCATCTTATTCAGAATACTAAAAATGTTTTGAACACTCTACGACGCACAATTTCCTTGTAGTTCGCTTACAATTCAGTGTTTTACTTTGTCCTTGTCTTCTCGAGAGCAACAGTTAAAACGTTTGAGTTTTTAAACAAATGGTCCGGGTTTTTCAAAGAAAATGTGAATAAGAAAGTAGGCATTCTTGGGCGTAAAAACTAACATTTTCTAGTTTGTAAATGTAATTTAGCGAAGATCAATATTATATATTTCTAATAAGTAACAAAACATATTACTATGTTGATCAAATTTAACCCTTTTCAATTTTATGATAGTTTTCTGATCTGAAATCATTTTACCATAACCTTGCAGTAATAAGATATATCAGAAATTACTGGATTCCTTGTAAAACTGTCTTAAGAACCGAGAACAGGGGACTCATAATCTTTTCAATATCATTTCATGCTATAATATTTTTTTTACAGTAAATAATAGTTTATGATTTATATATATCACGGTGGCGAAACCTGGGGTTTTAAAAATAGGATTAAGAAAACAAAAGGACAGAAGTTAATAATTCAGTAAAATGTAATATACCACAAATACTCTTCTAAGAGAGGTCTGGGACCAGCCAAGCCCCCCTCCCCCCAAGAAAAACCCACATATCCGCCCCTGTACTATTTGCTATTGACAAAAAACTTGAATTGAATGGAATATATAATTAACAATAAAATAAATAACCTATTAATATGATCCTTTTGAAATAATAATAAGAAAAATGTGTATACAATAGCGTACACCTCGTGTATTTAATTCATGTCTTTCTCAGAGTTCGTAGATCTAGATAGAGATCCGTATTTTTCATTTTTTTAAGTACTGCTAACTGATGGAAAGGAAGCTATCATGGTGTTTTATTGCTATTTGACCAAGTATAATAACGCTTGATCATACTCCTGTTCACAGTAGTAGCATTTGAAAATAGGTCTTGTTTCCATTCATAGAACGATAAAACAAATTATCGTCAAGACCAATATTCTCTTAAAAAATACACATACCCGTTTAACACACACAATTTACGTACGTCTCAGTCTGGAAAAAACTTGATTTATTTGTAACTGGCTTTTAGAGACGACCGCGAGTACTCTTATATCCATACTTTGTATCTATTGTTTTTATGTTACAATGTAGTTTGTTTGTCTGTGCTTCGTACCGATCTATTGAGTAAAGCCATTTGTAACTGATTTTTACAGTTGGTTCTTATTTTGTGCTGTAACACCACTGTCCAAAGTTAGGAAAGGGTTGAGGGCTTACAAACATTTTTAACCCAAGCAAAATATTTATATGCTTGTCCCAAACTTTCAAGAGCCTGTAATTCAGTGCTTGTCGTTTGTTCAGGTTCGTCAAATATGTTTTTTTCGTACTCTGTATTGTATAACTTAGGTTGTTAGTTTTCTCAATTGTTTTTAATCTTTTTTTCATGTTGGGGCTGTTAGAGCTGACTAAAAGGTATAGGATTTTCATTGTTGAAGGCCGTACGGTGACCTATATCTACTTTTATCTTAGCCATTTGAACTCTTGTGGATAGCTGTCTCATTTGCATTCATACCACATTTCCTTTTCTTTATATACATGCCTGTGCTCACATTTATATTGTTTACAACACGAATATTTACTGTATGATATCCATATTTGGTTGAATCGACATCGATATACGTATGTTTGGATCTATACAACATGTGTACCTGGAGGTTGACTTTTTGGATAGTTCCACCATATTTACATAAGCGTTGACATGTTTGATCTATTTACTGCTGGTGGATTATTCCCCGAGGGCAACATTAACTTGGTAGCTTTATGCATGATGAATACAAATGTTCAGTATTTTTGTGATTTTACACTTTTTTTTCCAAATATAACAATACCTGTGTCCATGCAATTTATAAGATGTGGCAAACAATAATATATACAAATATACGATGCTTTTTACAAATGTACGTGTTACGTACTACAGTATTATCAAACTGGTTAAATGTACTGGTTTTGTGCTTTGAAAAATACATTATTTGAACCTTTTCATTGTTTTTTTTAAACGTAATCGCACTGACATATAACAGTTTAAGCCATTGAAATTTTGTTTAATCGCTCGATCAAAACCTGGACCGCACTAAAAAAAAAACCGGGCTGCTCTCGAAAAGACACGGACATATACAAATGAATTTCTTCTAAAAATGTCCTTCTCAATGCAATAACAATTTTAATAAAGTGTCTGTACACCTAAGGACATATAGATTCCAAATATACATTTCCTTTGACATTTGCATTGGTACTTGTATAAAAATAGCTTTTAATATTGGAATAAAAGCATTGTAAAGCTAAATTAAACTTTTAGAACACAAAAGTAATATGCAAAACATTTTGTAAAATATGATCGTTAACTCCTTTAAGAAGTCGTCTGACAATTTCGATGATCTAAACAAATTTGTAGATCTTGTCCTGTTGATCGTTTTTGTTGTTTATAGTTTTTCTTCATGTGCTATATTTTTGGCAGAATATGCAAAAATTATTATAATTGCCATTTAGGTGCAATAACTCGACAATTACAGACATTTAACAAAATTTGCAGATTATGTCATGCTGATCATTTTTGCTATCTAAATTTTTTTTTTTTTTTTTTACGGTTTTCAAGATTATAAGCATAAAGGTAAACACATGGTAAAAAATCATCCTGAAGGGGCAATAAGTCTGAAATGAGTCGACCCATGATTTCAGCAATGTTGATTTATTTGTTGATCTGGTTTTGCTGATCATTTTTTCTATTTTAATGGTTGTTGCTATCTTTTATAGTTTTTTGATGATAATAGGCAAAACTCATTATAGTAGACTCACATACTTAAAATCAGCTCAATATGTGAAGGCGTTTAGAAAATATGTCCGTATCACTGTTCATTGCGGAATGACGGATAAGGGTTAAACTTAAATGGACCCCACAACTTTGATGCAGGGCCATACAAATTGGTATCAAAGTACTGAAGTACTGAACATCGGATGACCGCAAGTTCTTGTGGATGGTCAAAAGCACTTGTCACAGAAAAAAAATTACATCTCTATACCTGAAACTGAGGTACAGATTTATTTTTTTTCTATGACAATTTCGTGCGTGGATGATGAATAAATGACAGGAAATTCAACCAAACCGTAATAACTGTTATATTGTAGTGATACAAATCAGTATACACTGGTTTGTTGTTATATATTATATTAATATAACAGTTACATGTTTATATAATTTTCATCCATTTGTTAATCATCCTATTCTACTATTCTAATAATAGTGCAGTGCAAGTGCATGGTGGACACTCTTCTGTAAAAATTCGATTTTTCTAAAAGATTGGCTATATGTAGGCATTCATATTTTCCCGCAAAAAAAAAACAATCTTCCATGCAGAGTTACCGGTCCTTGTCGGTATTGTCGCAAAACGTTCTTGAGATATTCTTCCGCATGCTTCAACACAATGTTTTGGTACGTGTGCATAGATATTATCAATGATTTTTTACTTATATATATATATATATATATATATATATTTATATATATATATATTTAACGACAAAACATTTTCATATTATTAATTTATGTTCTAAACAAAAATATTTTTATCAGTATTCATTGAAGAGATGTATTTATAACAAACGATAATGAATGTTATTTTGCACTCGTTAATATCCGCGTATTTATCATGTTTATAGATCGGTTAAAAACCCAAAACGAATGTTTCGCAATGGAAATCTAGGCGATAGCAATACATCGGAATGCCCTCACGGTCATCGCGATGTAAAAAATCTTAATTTTAGGCCAAAAAAACCTATAAGGAGTCTTCTGACAATTTTGTTGTAGATAGACTGTATGTAGATCTGAACATTGTGAACATTTCTGCTCTTGTCAGATTTCCTCTTTATATAGCGGTTTTTCAAGATAGATAAAACTTGTAAATCTAACGGACGACGACGACGAGTCGCCAAGTGATAAGAAATGCTCACTTGACCATTTGTGTCAGGTGGGCTAAAAATATATACAGGGGAACTTGGGACAGTCACAAATAGAATGGGGCGGAGTTATATGTTTCCGAGCGCTCTATCCTCCCCTTATTTTTCACATAAATGTTATAAAATATATTTTTAGGCGAAAGACACCTTTTGATGATATGCATACATTTAGTGTCGAAGCAGTTAAAATTCGTATTGCTGGATTCTTGCATTTGCTATGGTTTTAGATTTTCTAAGTGGGAATTGCTTTCCATTCCGGAGTTTCTTACAATTTTAGTAGGTTTGTGTTGCTCCACGACACTTATTGCATTCCATTCTTAAAAAAAGAAAAAATAAGAGTTAAATCTATGCGTAAACCTGCTTATTTACTTTTGACCTTAATTATTTATCCCTTATAATTTTTATTAACTATGTATTTGCATTCAGGTATCACAGATCAAATGTATTCGTTCATTGTGTGTTAATTTACGTTCTTTGATTGAGTTAAGCCTTCCAATTGATATTTCATAGTGTGTCTTTCTATGTTGTGATGTTATACTATTGTTCCAGAAAAGGGAGAAGGTTTGGTACCATTAAAATGTTTAATCCAGCTGCAAATGTTTGCACCTGTCCTAAGTCAGGAATCTGATGTACAGTAGTTGTCGTCTGTTTATGTAGTTCATTAGTGTTTCTCGTTTCTCGTTTTTATATAGATTAGACCGTTGGTTTTCCCGTTTGAATGGTTTTACACTAGTAATTTTTTGGGGCCCTTTATAGCTTGCTGTTCGGTGTGAGCCAATGCTCCGTGTTGAAGGCCGTACCTTGACCTAAATGGTTTACTTTTATAAATTGTTACTTGGATGGAGAGTTGTCTCATTGGCACTCATATCACATCTTCCTATATCTATTGAAATATTAGTAACTTTCTATGATTCCATTCCCAGCAAATACACAAACACACAGCCTCACAAAAATTTCTTTGGTTAGCCTCAAATGTTAAAATCATCCCCCAGTTACTTAATAGAACCAACATAGGCTATTATATTTCTTAATAAAAAAAAGATAGGGATTAACATCAATTAGACAAAAACTAAGGGGGGACAAAATACATACAAAGATCAATATGTTTCTTCTATATATTGTTCATATACATGTATCTAGTTCTTTCCTTTTGATCTGTTTTACTAGAAATATAACTCAAACCAAAAATTTGTCAGTCTCATTGGTGATGTAGCTGTTACTTTTTATTGCAACTTTAATATACTTACATAAGATGTCATATATAATATACATTTTTACTATGCTGAAATTATATAAGCTTTGTTTACAAAGCTAATACGCATATTCACTATAATATAACACGTATGCAAAAGTGGAAGGTTTAATAAGTGCCATTATAAACATGTCGAAATTAACCTGTTTGATGTACTAAATATAACCATGATCATTTTTACATAGCTTTTGGCAAAATTTGTTATGAACCATAGCCTTATCCAAAAAAATTGTTTACCCATATTAAAATATTGGTATAAGACATAGCAAAATATTGTTTTGTGAAAGGCTATGGCTCATATCTAAATAATATTTTAATTTATAAGATTTCAATATGAAGAGTTGTCACAAGTTTGAAGTTTTGCTTTAAATACAAGAATTTGAAGCCTTGACGCAAAGAGGTCAGACAAATTTGAAAATATTAATACTGTCTAACAGACTAGTGTGTCGTGAATATCTGAAGAATGATATTAGATAAACTCATCAAATACAATGTATCAAAAATGGACCCTATATAATTTCCTTTATTGTGCTGATATGAGAATTTTTTTTTCAGTTTATACAAAATCATGATTAAATGAGAAAAGGGTTTATTTTCCTATTCAGTATTAATGATATGTAACTCATTTTAATGCGATTATTAACCACATAATGATATTGATTATTAATTAAATAGTGAAATTGCAACAGCTGCTCTTATATGAATTAATTTTTATATTTCCCTAGCTAATAAGAAGGTGGGGGAATGGAAATGATATGAACATTATGAAAGTTAGGTAAATTGTTTCTTGCAAGCAAGAAATCAGAAAAGAAGTAGAGTCGATTTTCCGGCCTATATTTGTTTCACTAAAATGGTTAAAATAAAAAGGTGTTAATATACCTATGGTATTCTAATATTAAAGATCATTATATAAAACTTGAAACGTTTCTATTCAATTCTATTGATTTCGATTAAAGCAAGTGTTATTAATCATAACATATTGCCGTTGACTTGACGATGCAATATAGTGAATTGTTCGTGTTTTTGTCAAACTTTGCATCAAAGGACATCTTTAACCAAGCAAATAAGTTTTTATCTAAGAGAAAATACCAAGTTATATCTTCTCTAATGTATTTTATAACTACTCAAAACTTGCTCAGTCTCTATCAAAATTGCAGTTTTGAGCTATCTGTATATGCATTTATGTTAAAAAGAATGTAACCAGAAGATACCAATGGAACAATCAAAAACCAAAAGTCGAAAAATACCGACAACACCACAGCAAAACGTGAAACGACGATAAGACAAATACAGTCCACAAATCACTCCACAGAAATCCCCACGAAATACTAGAGTGATATAGGGTGTTCCGGACGGGTAAAAACTTCCTGCTCATGGCAAATAAAAAGTCGATGATTCCGCAAAACCAGATTCTAAAATGACAAGACAGTCACTGACGATGTTCCTGAATTGAGACATGCGGGCACAGGAACGTGTTACTTGGTTAAAGCAATATTGTTTACATCTGAACCCTCCATTTTAAACTAGATCAGTGGATTAACAAAAATTACAACAAACAGAAGTACAGACAGTAACAGTCTCACTCTAAAATATTGGTACACTAGATAACAAACAAAAAGACAAAAGTAAATAATTATAATCAATACAGAATAAAAAACATGGTAACATGGACTCCCATCAGGCACTAAACCCATGCTTAAAGGGGTCGTCCGTTTGGTTGTGTGGCATGCATAAATACATAGTCCGTTCCTGTCGGAATGGGACCGTTTTTGATGCATCATACAAGGCGAGTGTCTCTCTGTCTTCACATTAAATAACTCCTGCAACAACTTTTTGAGGTGGCCTGTTACAAGGCAAAATTCCTCCTCTACCCAAAATACCCGTTTCCAGAGGAAGTCGAAATTTTCCGCCCTTCATATCGGTCGAAATACTTTGTAAAAAACTGTCTATTGGATGTATTGTTTATGTGGTCTCTGAATGTGCATAAAATATGTGCACCTTCACGTTGCAAAAAAACAATCTACGCCATAAATTATGACACGATCTTTCGCAATACCCAGAATAAATTTATTCGGAATTTAAAAACAGGCAAAAGTAAACAGATGTTTAGGTCTTGTTTAAAGAAAACTCAGTATTATTACAAACTTTATCAATTTGTCTAATGCAATTTAAGTATGTTTTAGTATTCTTTTTTCAGAAATCTGCGCTAACAATATACACCTTCAGCTCTTTGAGCCAACCATTATTGCAAATCCGTAAGTTATACACTGATATATGCCTTAGTTTCGAAATATCAAGACTTACAAGTGTTTTAAGATAAAATTGTCATTTTTAACTTTTTCTTTTTATCAAACGTTTTACATGTAAACCAAAACAATTAAAAATATCAATATACTAAGACAACGGCATCGACTTAGCAAGATCCGATGGTGCAACAGAATAAGGGAAAACTGCAAAACTGGCGGCAAGTCTAGTTCAGCGATGCAAACTCTGCAAGAACTGCTGCAGGCTATTGAGCAAGAATATAGGAGACTTCTACAAGACAGTATAGGTCGATTAATCGATTCTTTGCCGAGACAGGTCCGTGTTGTTTGACAGGCTAAAATTTGAAGTAAATTATAGTTTTTCGCATGTTTCATTTCTATTTTGACAGTACAATGTATAAAACGCAGAAAGATCTATGATAAATACGGGGTTTAATTGGACGAAACAAGTTAATATTTTCAAATTCAGGAAGAGAAAGGGGAAGATAGGATCTATTTTGATTCGACACCTAATATTGAATTAATAGTCTGGCAGTGCATAATGACCTACAGTTGACACTAAATTCAAATAACTGAATGTATAGTGTTTCATATCTTGTAGAGTATACTGATTTGCGGTTTATATTATTAAAGTCGGATTTTGTACTAGGTCGTTCAATGCATAGCCAGTAGTTTAATTGATGCTTGCTTGCTTGCTTGCTGAAACAAGTTTTCTTAAACGAGCAAAGAGCGTGGCATTAATCCTTAACGGGGCATTGGATTTCCAGTCCCCATTCCGATCGGATTTCACTACATGTGTTTATACATCCCGCCCAGACAAACGGACGCCCCCACTATGGCAAGAGTATAAGTGCCGTACGGGAGAAGTCTAGGGACGATCATAATTGTATACCTCAGTCAACCTTTTGGGGTATAGTCAGTTGACTTAAGATGATCATTAATTTTGTTTGACTTTTTGAAATAGAGAATCAACTGTATCACGTTTTGCAAAATATAATAATACTTGGACCGTCTATTACTTTAACATTTCTTAAAAACTAATAATTAAATGAAATATATGATATAGAATGTAAATCGATTCATAAGCATTTGCTTTCTAAAAGTGAACCTTATTATAATAGTCTATCGTTCCTAGGTGGTCCGTAGCAACAAGCAAACATATACAGGTGGCCAGCTTAATCTCAATGTGTATACATCTTTGTTCAATTAGACGAATTTTGCAACATTGTATCTCTTTTTTCTAACTATTAGTTGTGTAAAAGAAAAAGGTAGCATATTTGTCATAGAATATAATAACATGATATATTTTTTTGCACTTCGCTTTGTACATTTAGTTTTTAGTATTGTTGTATGAAACAAAGTATCAATCTATTAAGGTATAGTACATGTAGTTCAAATTTGCAGATTTCGTGAAGTAAGTTACGTTCTGCAAAAAACTGACGATGATGCTGTTTTCTTGATCGAGACAATACCTGCCAAAGAGCCGTGTAAAACAAGTGGAAATTTTCGTTTTTACGAAGGTAATCCTATACAAATTATAACGTTGTTTTAATAAGTTTATGATGGTTTTCACCTGCGAAGTCTGATATTGCTCCAAACGATATATAATAAACCTGTGTCGTGAGAAAATTAAAGCAAAATGTTGCCTTGCCATTAGACACTGAAATAAGGATATGGGATTTCGTTATTTCAATTAACCCTATAATTTGTGTGCACTGAAATCGTATCATTTATAGTGTGTGTTTTTTTTTATAAATTTTCTTCCTCCGCCTATAGTCTCAATAATAAAATTTTGAACCTCACTATTTAATTTATGTATTATTTATAAAATAATGATGTGGTTTTAGCGCTTACTATGCGAAAATAAATAGAAGGGCCAAAGTGAGGCTTCTATTTCGCATAGTCGATGCCAAACACGACATTATTCTTATCATTAAACTGAATGCCAATATCTAAATGAACCAGTATAAAAATAATCTCAAAACATGCAATATTTATACTCAAGCATGAACCGAAGAAAAAATCTTAAGTTCTTAATAGGCTCGACATGTTTAACATCTAGCAATATGGGCAACTTGAGCTATTGCCATCAGTTGGCACCGGGTTACAAAATATAAGAAAACCTTGAAAATGAAAGTTAGTATCTGCTAAAATCAACAGTTAATATAATGTAATGAAATTTCAACGTTAAGATTATTGTAATTGACAGGTAGTTTTCTTAAGTTACGGTAGTAAGCAGTTAAGACATGTATTTTATTGAATGGAAAGGGTGATAATTTAACTTATTTTTCAGGAAGCGGTAAAACCGGAATTCTCCGTTATGAGCATGGATGTATGGCTGAGGTGAAGACATGGGTTGCTGACAGCAACACTGTTTCTATGGATGTTAATAAACCAGCATTTTCTGTTTGGACGCTTTTAGCCAAAGATCAATGTAAGAGGAGGATAACTAAAACTATTTTCTGGATGTATTGCTATTAGAAAAATGTAACTTATATATATGGTTTAAATTTTAGCTTAATAATTTTTCTATATGAATCGACGTGATTTTCAAATAGTGTGGTATGTTATAAAAGCAGCCAGTACAAGGAATACTTTTATTTATTGTAAGTGTGGTCATTCAAATTAAACATATCAAAGTAAACTACTGTTGTATGATAATGTTTTGGTTTACTTCTATATATATATAAATTTATTGTATTTTAGCTCAAGGTGCATGTTTAGGTGATCCAGTGAATTTATTAGCCGAACGAAGAGAAAAATTCATTACCACTGCTACTTTTCCCAGGCAATACCCTGCGTAAGCTATATATAGTTTTATACAAAAAAGTTCTTCAAATAATATGACTTCAGATATTGAACTGATGTTTAACTATTTTATAGTTATATTGTTTCGTTCTGTTTTCAACTACTTGCAACAAAATCAAAGTTCATTCACTAGAAAATCCAAAAACAGTAATATAACCACTTTCCTTTATATATGTTTCACGTATTGTGTCAATTTACACCAATGTAGGACACATAGTGCGCTTACATATTGTATGTGGATGTATATATTTGATTAAATAACAAAAACTGTCAATAAAGATATCCATATGCAACGTCGCACAAGATGCACCTAATAATTTGGTCATATCATATCTTAAGGTTGGGATGATGTGAGACCATTGTATTTCCGATGGTTTCGTACGGGCAAAAACAATAAATAATCAACACTTACTGTGTAACAAACTGTCGATTACTAATTGTAAAATGAGTTGAATTTGTTAAAGTAATTATAAAAAAAATCATTTAAGATATCAGGCTTATAATTTTGTACGCCAGACGTGTGCTCAATTAAAAAAAGTGAAATGGTCAAATAAAGTACGAAGTTGATATACTTGCACAGTTACATGACAACAACTTCTTTTCAGACAGGTTAACTGTACATGGAATATAACATCGCAAAATAACAGAAACATAGCACTGACCGTCTATTATCTGGATGTCGAAGTAGGTCCTGAGTGGAACTGTGTTTTTGATTATATCAAAATTCAATCAGGTGAGAAGATAATATATGATTCCTTGTATTATTTTGATTGGTAAAAAAGGATAACAGTCGAATGTTTATAACATTTGTGAATGATGTGATAACTTATGAAAAGCTTCTTGTTAATTGTTGATGGTTTTTTGATGACAAATAACCCAGGTTTTAATCTTCCATCCAAAGGGTGATTGACGGAAAGAATGATTGTTTCCTGGATTTTCCCGTCGAGCGTCCATTTGGCTGTTTGGGATGTATAAATACACAGCCACTCCCGTTTCGGAATGGAGACTTCAAATCCGATGCATTTATTTTGTTAGGTTGGTTCCCTCCTTAAAATATTCAGTATGCCTTCGGAATATAAAATATTAATAGGTATTGTCAAACTTGTCAAATAACGGCTATGTACCAGTCTTATATCCTGTATAAGGAGAGTACCAGGATATCTCCATGGTATTTAAAGAACCGTCGATCCATAGGTGGCTTGTTTGCCACAATGCAAGATATTTCAGCGCCAATTCGACTTACTTCGCAGAAATACCTATTACAGTTATTATTTAATTGGTTTTCGTCTTGAATATCATGAACTAGTTTCCACCGGACGTTAACTGAATAAACATCAATCTTATTGGGTTTCGGGGCTAGTTAAAGGTCTATTTCATATCATCCCTTTTCTATGTGTAGAAAATATATTGAGGTTTCGGTGTTGTCGAGCAGAAAAAAATACCTGAGGGAAGTTTTTCTGTTGATCGCTGCTCTGTTCATGTCGGAGTTATATTCGTAGAAATTACTTTTTCAGATTGAATCACAAGTAATGTAAGTCACTGACTACTTTTTACTCTTGCGTTTTAGCAATCTACCTTAAGACACTGATGACTTGATTGAATCGCTGCAACCCCCTCTCCCACAGAGAATCGGACCCGACATGGCTGCGTATTATACATAATTTAATATGTTTATAATACTTGTGTATTGTCGAATTCAAGGCCTAGAAAATATATATGCCTTTTCATTTCCTTCTATACGCTTAAAAAGTTCATATACGCTTTATAGAATGCCTCATAAATATACATAAAATTGCCAACTGAGTCCTTATAAACAAGTTCAATTATAACATATCTTAATCTAAATCATTATAAAGAGAGCAGAAATAACCGAGGGTAAATTTCACAATGCTTTTTAACAACGAATGCATTAGTTAGAATACCCTGACAGCGATTGGGCAGCTTTGTTACAAATGTACAACAAACAATTTTTTTTTTATTTCCTGCACATGTCAAATTATATACTTTTAACAATACTTATGTAAACATAGATTGTAAGGTCGCTTTCGTTTTAGACAATGTTCGATACCACCTATTTTTAAAAGGTATCCTCTTAGCAGAGTACCATACTGTCTTACAGGTAACCCTTTTTACATCTCACCAATAAAAATGTTAGATGGTATTGCTTAGTTTCTTGTAAGATTGTCTGCTAATCCAAACTTCAAAATATTTTCAACACATAAATTCACGAATGTGGCTAACGCATGAGTAGACTATCACTGTTCACTCACGAGTTTAAAAATTCTAGTTAGTCTACACCTATCCTGTTACAGAAAACTAATGGGTATTAATTTTATTTCACTGACTTTTAATGTAAATAGAGTAGAAAATACAAGGAATTTTCTACGTGTTTTTCACTTTTGTGGTATGACGTGTCGTCACTCAGAGAATATTACAAGATTTATTTCACGTGGCATGGGAATCACAGTATTTCACGGTATTTAACTTCAACCAAATGAATGTAATAAAATAATCTATAAAATTGTTGATTTTGTCTTTTTCAGATGGTAAAGATGAATATTTATGTGGTGAGAATATATGGGATAAAGAAACGTTTCATGGCTCTCATTTTCTTGTGGATTTTATAAGTGACAAAAGTGGAGTAAGAAATGGTTTTTTAATTGGTTTTCATGAACTGCAGATTATACACGACGATTTATAACTAAAATAAAAGAGTGGAATGTCTTCCTGTAATTTTATTATGTGTATAGTTAACAGCATAGAATCTGGCAAATATTTAAAGCGAATTCACAAGATGAACAATTATCGATTTAATCGTATTCGAACTTCATAAACTAAGGTTAATAGATATTAGAAGATGTGGTATGAGTGCCAATGAGACAACTCTCCATCCAAGTCAAAATTTATAAAAGTAAACCATTATAGGTCACAGTACGGTCTTCAACACGGAGCCTTGGCTCACACCGAACAGTAAGCCAGGTTACTTCCAATAATTACGCAGTCACTTCATTTGCTAAACAATCAGTCGCCGTGGCATATATAGACATGAACCGCCTTTGTTGGTCAGACTGGGAAGATTTCAGCCGGTCAAAAAGCATGACAAAAAGACGATTTTTCGTTTCCTATTGTTAATTTTCCCTTTTTGGACGGTGATGTTCCTTGAGCATCTTCCTACGGTGTGTGTATTTCACGTCTTGTTCGCTATGCTCTTGTCTAAAGTCGCGTTTTCCTACGTTGTGTATATTTCACGTGTTGTTCGCTATGCTCTTGTCCGAAGTCGCGTTTTAGATTTCAATGAACGTTATTTGTGTAAAACTGGTAAATTATTAAGTCGGGGATTTCGTCACCATAAAAGAATTAAAACTTTTACTTAATTCATTCATAGCTACAAAAATTTGGTTCTGAAATTTGGTTATACCTGTAGAACTCTTTTCAAAACGGGTATCACATTCTAATTTTAAGTTGATGTTGTTTATAGTGCCCGTAAGTTAAGATCAATCCATGTTAACTCATTGATCCTTTGAATAAACTAATTCTTTAAGTTTATCAATTTAACACCGTATTTATCGGTACTTACACATAATTTGTTTTGAAAAGTTAAAACAAAACTAAATATATACTAGCATTGCAATATATAGATATAGGAAGATGTGGTATGAGTGCCAATGAGACAACTCTCCGTCCAAGTAACAATTTATAAAAGTAAACCATTATAGGTCAAGGTACGGCCTTCAACACGGAGTATGAACAGTTATTAGTAGTCATGATCCTACACCATGCCGATCTATTTACTTATATTATTGGCATTGCACAATGTGATGCATTTCTTATACTGTTTATGACGTCTTTATACTAAATCCGTTGGATTTGTACTGATTGATACTTTAGTCTGGGAGAACATGATACATTTATTCGCTGTAATTGGCTTTGAACTAGCTTTCAGTAACTGCGAGTACTTTTATATTGGTGCTTTGTGTCTGTTATTTTTATGTTAGTTGGTTTCTTGTGCTTCTTAGCGATCTATTGAGTTAAGCCAGTTGCAACTGATGTTTACAGTTTGTTCTTATGTTGTGCTGTTAGCCACTGTCCAAGGTTAAGGGGCTTGAGCGCTCACAAACATATTTAACCCTGTCACATTCTTTATGTACCTATCCAAAGTCAGGAGTCTTTAATTCAGTAGTTGTCGTTGGTTAATGTATGTAATATTTGTTTTTCGTAATTTTTCATTGTTATCAATTAGGCCATTAGTTATTTTCTCGTTCGAACTGTTTTACATTTTTCAGGTGGGAGCCTTTGATAGCTGACTATGCAGTATGAGTTTTTCTCATTGTTGAAGGCCATATGGTTGCTTTTATCGCACCTCGGTTAAATTAGTAACGATGTGATTGACGGTTTAACGTCACGTAATGACCCCCTATGAATCCGTAGCGATCCGTAGTGGATTTAATAAGGGTATCATGACGTCATGTCTACTATTATTTTTATTATATTTCATTGTTTATTTTTTAAACTAAACTTTGCAGGAAAAGTCCCGCGTGCGAAAAATTTGTTATACGCTTCATCACTTCGGCCAAGCTCCTTATGGATTTTACTAACCCTCTATGGATTCATAGGGGTTCAGTAGCAAACCATATATTTTATAATATCCACATCATTTGAACTCGGATGGATATTTGTTAAATTGGCAATCATACCACATTCCTTATTTTTATACTGAAAATAAAATATGATATTGTAATGATCCACTATGACAATATAGAATACTACGCCATATTTTATTTCAATTTTTTTTTACCTAGCTCACGGAAACGTTTTCGTGATGAATTAGTTTTTGAAAGATAAATTTTACAGACATTGATTATCAATAGGCCCATTTTGGGATATTCGACAGCTTAAAAAGCAAATGTTGAAAGTAAGTACTTCAGTCGCCATCTTTGATTCTGTCTGTTTCACTTGTTTTGCGTTTAGCCCCTTTAAACCATTCATGTGGTTTGGCTAACCGGACTTTATCTGAATTCTAACTAACGAATAAAGGCAACAGTAGTATACCGCTGTTCAAAAGTCAGAAATCGATTGAGAGAAAACAAATCCGGGTTACAAACTAAAACCGAGGGAAACACATCAACTATAAGAGGAAAACGAAGGAACAACAGAAACACTGAAGTGCAACAAAAACAAATGAAGTAGACCAAATATTTTTCGTATAATCGAATTGATTGGTGTTTGTCTAACGCCGCCTTAGTACAAAAGACTATATCGCGCGAGAGCTTATATTTTAATAATAAATAAAAAATATTGTTTACAATATCAAACAAAATTCCTTCATAATACAAACAAGAGTGCTTTATCCCGGGTAGATTTACTGGGAGAACTGTAGACTTATATATGATATTTTACACTTTACAGAAGAAAATGATATCCCTAGTATATTATTACTCATTGATTTTGAGAAGGCCTTTGACTCTATATCATGAGCATTTCTCTTTGAAACACTTAAGTATTTTAATTTTGGAGATTCCATTATGAACTGGATTAAAACATTTTACAATGATATTACATCAACTGTCACCCAGAACTGTTGTCTGTCAGACTTTTTCCGTGTGGAGAGAGGCTGTAGACAGGGAGATCCTTTGTCTCCTTACCTTTTTATTGCTATGTGCAGAAATATTAGACATTTTAATAAGAAATAGTGATGAGATAAAGGGTATTACGATAGATGATTCAGAGTATATTGTGTCTCAATATGCAGACGACACGTCACTTATTATAGATGGGTCGCCCTCCTCACTGGATGCATCTCTCCGTATATTACAATTCTATGCTGAGATATCAGGACTGAAAATTAATTTAGACAAAACAAACGTTATATGGATAGGTAGTAAAATACATAGTCAAGACAAAATATGTATAAAGTGGGGACTGAAGTGGGTTTCCAGTACCTTCAAATTATTGGGTATCACTTTCTGTGTTGATTTAGATAGAATGTTAAACCTAAGTTATGCTCCTCACATACAAGAAATAGAAAAAATATTACAAAAATGGTCAAAACAGTCACTTACCCCGTTTGGTAAAATAACAATTATAAAGTCTCTAATTATATCAAAATTTAATCATCTGTTCCTGTCCATCCCAGGTCCAGATGATAATATGATACGTCAACTTAATAGTAAAATTTATTCATTCATTTGGGATGATAAGCCTGACAAGATAAAGCAGGATCTTATATGTCAAGAATACTACAGAGGGGGCCTAAAAATGATTAATTTGAGAAATTTTATGCAAGGGTTAAAACTTACTTGGGTTAGAAGATTATTTAAGTCAAAATCTAAATGGATACAACTATTTACCTCCACACAAAATATAGATTTTACAGAGTTGGCTTATTTTGGAATCATTAAAAAATCAAAAAACAAATTTTGGGATGAAGTTTTTAATGCCTGGAAAAATATGTCAAAACTCAGACGTCCTTTTCATTTTGAGGAAGTCATTTCGGTATCTATATGGAATAGCGAACATATTAAATTTGATAATGTCAGCGTTTACTATAAAAATTGGGCACACCATGGGGTATGGACTGTAAATGACCTATTAGATGAACATGGAACTATATTAACATATGAAAATTTTTAAATAATGTATAATTTCAAACCCATGTTTCTACAATTTTATGGACTTATACTAGCACTAAAAAAGTGGTTACAAGCCATTGGAATCAACACTGGAAGAGAGAAAAAAAAACGTCAGGCTATTATGCCTTTTAATATTAATATTTTCTTCAAAAGTCAGAAAAGGGCTCAAAGGATATGTATACTATTTTAAACCAAGGTACTATACCTATAGATTTTGCAGCAGAACAAAAGTGGGAAGGTATTCTAAATAAAGTTGTAGAAAACTGGAAAAAAATACACTTATGTGGTTGTCATATTGCAGCCGACATTTGGCACAAACTGAATTTCTTGGATTTTCGATATAGTTCATATCGAAATTCCACTAAACTTTGATATTGTCATTTTTGGCCTGTATGAAAATTATAAATTGAATTTTATCAAAAATAAAGTTTTTTACTGACCAAGTACTTCATTTACAGATCTAAGATGCAAGATATAAAACCTCATATAAAAGGACTTCAAAATTACATAAAAGAAAACTTGATTTTGGAAAAACATCCTAAAAATATTTAAGTGTGGAAGAACACAACTTGTACTGGAACCCCTGAGCTAAGGTCACTGTTTAATTTTAATGGGGTAAATCCATATTATACATATGTGTGTATATGAGTATTTGAAAGTATATGTATACTGTTATACCATATGCATGTACATATATATGTTCTTGCACTACTATTACTACTATTATTATATTAATGAAAATGTTATTACTATACTTAATCCATAGATTTCATACGGTTATACCATAGTATGCTTATTATGCTTATTCATTTCACTTGCTTGATTATTGTGCCACAAGATAAATATTTGTTGATACCTGTAAATTCATGAAGGAAAAAAAATTATAAAAAAAAGAGTACACACACTGAAATGTCTCGCCTGCTTTACTAACCATTGATTTTATGTTGAAAGTCTTAAAGATAAAGGTTTTACTTAAAGCATTACATCTCTATGACAATGAGGTCAGATAAATAGTGTCAGACAGACATAATCACCTTACAATTATTTATACACCAAATATAGTTGACCAATTGCGTATGCTAA